ACAAGTCATAATGGTATCGCCAAGAGCGTGATGAATGAAATAATGGAGAAATCTAATCTCATTTTGCCGCAAGAATATCATCTAAACCGATATGCAATCGATAATTTCGATTCATCCCGAAAGCAATCATACAATGGTACAACTTGATCATTCGTTTCAATGCTGTACATACAAGGAAGCATTACATCGTGCAGACGCGAATTCGAAGATAATTTTTTCAACACCCATTTCGGTAAATCTCGGAAAGATAGAAAGTGAAAAAAAAAAAAATAAATAAATAAATGCGTTTAGGACAGATAAAGGGAAACCAGACGTTCCTTAGCGAGAAACGTAAGCACAAAGATGTGTAATCGGTTGGATACGATTTAGTCAGTTTTGATATGAACGGTTGTTCAATAACGATGGGAATAAATCTTATTATGTTGTTTTAAGGACCATAGTTACAGATTAATCTCAATAATAAAAAATTCATTTTTAGATAAAAAATTTCCTAAAAAAATGTGTTTTCTTCTTTTATTCAAAAAATTAAATTTCAAATCAATTATTAAGAAAATTTCAAAAATTTCGATTCTCAATAGCTGCTGCTTCTTTTTAATACTGTTAAAATAATTGGATGGATATTTATTTGCCCCAACCGTGACCGCCATAACCGCCATAGCCGCCGCCACCGAATTTGCCAAAGCCACCGCCGCCACCGTACGAATAGACAGGAGCTGCGACAGCAACTTTAGCTACCGGTACAGCGGAGTAATGCACAGCTGGAGCTGCGTAAGCGACTTTAGCTACAACAGGAGCCGCATAGGATATAGCGGAATAGCCACCGCCACCAAAACCGCCGCCATGTCCACCGCCGTAACCGCCACCACCGTAATAGCCGCCACCGCCGCCCAAATATCCAGGATCAGCTGCGACGCTCACAATTAAAGCCAAACTAAGAACAATCTGCAAATGTTCAAGATACATTATCGGGATTGTATTCACTCTACATACGCATATACTAAGATGATTATATAATTTATTATTATATTTTATTATTAGCCTTTTCAGGACGAACGAATAAAGTCCTTTATTTATTTATTTGTTTTTATTTTTATTTTTTATTTTTATTTAGTTTATTTTTTTTTTTTCTTGTTAATTACTCACAACTTTTAACATTGTGTGGCTGGTTGCTTGTTTTTGCTTTCGGTTTAAGATTTTCTAAGATGAACTCCTGCTGGTACGTAAACTTTATGGTGTGTGATTGACTTGGTGGAAATCACCCTGGTTTTTATATCGAAAAAAATATCAATTTTGAAATGAAAATTTTTGCGAAATCATTCGTTTTGTTTTTTTAATTTTTTATATATATACATATATATTTTTTTTTAAATACACTTGTAACTCAAGCTTTAATAACTACCACCAGAATTTAGTGTAATAGTTTTTTAACTAGATTTTGTGAGGAAACATATTTCACAAAAAACTTTATAACCAGATGTGGTGGCTGACTAACTGGATGGTAACCCTCGTTTCTTGTTGCTCTAGTGGTGTACTACACACAGAATATTGCGGTCAATTAAACTAGAAAAATAAAAAGAAAAAAATACCAAAAAATAAGTAAATCGAAAAAATCGAATGTTGTTTGTTCGGTTAGATTATAATTGTTGGATTAAACAAAGTTTATTAATAATAATAATAATAATAACAAATTGCGTTTGTTGTTATAAGATGCCTCATGGATTTGGATCTTAACACAATTTTAAATCCATTTCAAACTAATTTATATTGATTTACACTTAAAGAGTAAATTAAAGTTTTTGCATTATTTTTTTTTTTTTTTGTCTTTTTTTCTTTACATTTTATACTAACTTTAAAGTTTAGTTGCAAAAAAATAAATTGCATAAATTTTTAAATCTATTTCTCAAAAGTTATTATTAACACGTTAATTGCGAATAATTGCAGAAAATGAAAAAGGGGGCACTCCGAAGAGGAGAGGGAAGTTTCATTGGTAGTAGTAGTAACTGAAAGTAATTTATTTCAAATTTATTCGAGCGCCATTTGATCGCCTCGCTCCTACAATTGTGTTCAATTACTCGATTCTTCATTGGACTACGTACAGTGCCGTACATATTACACAGATGATATTCAATTTTTTTCCCAATTTTCATTTCGGGTTAAAATGCAAAGGTCACACACACAATTCAGAAATCTACATCATTGACAAATAAATTCATAAACATTCACGTCATTCTTCGTTACGCTTATGTGTTTTATTGATCCGAGAAGATGTTCAAATTCGTTTCGAACAACATGTTCAACTGTTCGATTACAGGGACATTATTTTTATTGTGCAAAAGGCAGGGCGTTTCAACAAAAAAGTCTATCAGTCAACTTTTTATTTGTTTTTTTTTACTATTGACTGATATTATTGTACTATGGAATCATCTATGCACAACATGTTGGCATAACACTTCTGGCGTTTTGATGGCAGTTCATTAATAAATTTCTAACCTTCTAAGTCCAAAAGGAAAGCGATCTAACCTAACTTTCAAAAGCCGCTTTGAAAAATCCGCTTACGATATTCGAAAACTAATTGAGTCAATCGATGGGGTCATCGAGAGCCAAGTCTGAATAAGAGACAGTATGCTATATATATATATATATATATATATATATATATGGTAGTCAGCTGGTTTAAAAGCCTACCTGCAATATATCAGATATTATGATGAAAAGATTGGATGATTGTCAATATCGCATTTTCATATCACCATTTATTGGATTATGGTGTATATATATGTATGTGTGTATATGCTCCGAATCAACTATACGTTAGACTATAATACTCATGAGAACACGATTGTTATTCCTCTTTTCAACGCAAGCCCGGGCAATCAGTGCCGAATATAATTTCTCTCAGGTTTTTTTTTTTCCCCCAGTTTTTTTGCTAAGCTATAAACTATGTCATCTAGTTCCATCCATCTTATCGGTACAATAGATATTTACTTGACCTGTACATATATTTGCTATATATAGATTCGGGAGATGACCTGAATGACGTGTACGAAATATACGTGAAGTGAAAGAGTTAAAAACGTTATTAAAATTTGGGCTAAAGGAAAAGGGGGCACGGCCCACCATTCCACTTCACTTAATACAGTTATTATAAGGCATTATATGGGAAGTGGACGAAAAAGTGGTCCGATCCAAATTATATGCAATTGTGTTCGTTCTGTCAGCGTACAAATTTCATCGAAATATCTGGAAAATTGCGGCTTGAAAACAAGGCAGACAAATGCACCGAAGAACAGACAGACGGTCAAGCTTAAATCCGATTCAGAATCACTTTCTGAATCGATTGGTATAATAAGACATTGATCCGTCTCAGGTCACTCTGCGTATTGCATACATCCGCACTAACGTAATATGCCCTTTTATCACAAGTGGTGTTGAATGTGAAAATTTCGGAAAAGTTGGTTGAAGCATATCACTGCAGACTATAATATATCACTAAATCGACTCGTACCAATCAGAATCTCTAGATTATCTAATTCCTAATTAATTAAATACTAATTAATTAAGTATTAAAATATTTCCCATAGACATGTTCGTTCATCCCCGGTACGTTTTAGAAACGCTTTCAAATGTTTACGGTGCGGAAAAGAAAATCGTTTTGTTCACCAGAATGCAAGTTTGTCTAATTCGAAAAATTAAGGGAACGTGAATTGGCTTTTAAGAATTTTACCCTTCTTGAGACATTCATTAAATATATATGTAAGTGTGTTTTTTAAAGATAGATGACACAATATTTGATGAATGCATGAAAGTTTACCACCCGGGACCCGAAAAGTAAGACTAGTTTGGACTTATTATTGCAAAATGACATCTTCGCATAGAACAATGTTAGGGAACCTGTTAAATTGCTTGATGTCATAAGGGTAATTACCAATTAATATGACACTGTTCGTTAATATGATACTGGTTCGAAAACGTTTGCTAATAGATTAGGAATAACATAATCGTTCCACAGTTCATTCTCTCTCATAGCGCATAATAGATGGGGTAAAAGAGATCTTTGAGAATTTGTGAAAACTCTTACCGCCTCTAGCCTAGCAATTTACCATTAATATGTTCGATGTACTGGATCCAGCATATAAAGTTTACATAGAGTTTTCTAGAGCTGCTAATAGTTAGAGAGTTATGTCGCAAATGACTTTCTTATATAATCCAGTGTGTCAACAGTGGGTGGCTATTGTTTAAAAAGTCGTCCATTTTTAAATGTTGATCGCCCAAGACCAAAAAAATTATCATATTAGACGACTCTACCTTTATTCAATCGGGCTATAGATGCTCGCATTATTCAAAGATCAAAATGGTTGTAAAGCAAATTACAAACATTTCCAATTGCCTTAAGCATAAAGCTGAACGATATTGAATGGAAAGGATTTCCCCATGACAAAAATATGTTTATGGGTATCATTACAGAAAAAAAAAAAAAAACCATAAATCTCTTCTTGAATTTTGGACGCAGACAAAGCTTGTTCCCATGATCTTTAATTGTCTACGTATCGTGATGATTAACCCGGCATTCAGTTGCCTTCAACATATTTTACATTTCCGCCTATGAATACAAGGTTTTCTAAAAAAGCCCCTCTCTGGGGACTAAATATTTATTTTTTTCCCTTTTTTAGAGAAAAGGAATTCTTTTGCTAGCTTGTCACCAGCAAATAAATACTATTTACGTGAAGCTCTTGAGAGTATTTTGCCGGATTGACCACGTCCCCCCGTCTTCGTAAGCTATAGCTAACTAGTTTTCCCGCAATTTCGTCGATTGCTTTCACCAATGCACCAACGCACACATGATGTTCTATTGGCTCATCTATGAGACGAAAAATTATAATTTCTTCAGATGTTTCAGATGTTGTTCGTCGTGAGCATCTATCCCATCTTGTTCAACTTAATTATGAATAATTTACGTATTTAGGTCAAATATCCTTAAGTGCTAATGGTTGCTGAGGGTGCACAAATTTTCTATATCTGCAATGCATCTGATAACATTCAACTTTTCCAATAGCACCATTAAATCATTGAATGGTTCGTATATCACTAAACGAATGATGCTTAATCTGAAAAATGCATTAAACTTCCCGATGGTTGCATTAGTCTATTGGCATAGTATTGTACTATTAATACCTAAGAGTTTGATCGCGTCCAGGTTTTTTTTTTGACACAACGTATGCCTGCAAATGTGCATATATGCAATTTGTCAGATCTGCATTCGCATACTTAGTTATTGTTTGATTATCAACTTATCAGTCATGTAACGATTTGAAATACAAGCGATGCTCTTCTTGGCTTATGTTAGAGTACCTTGTTAAGTCTGTCTCTATGTGAGTACAAGGCTGAACGTATAGATGTGCCATCGTCAGAAAGAAAACGCAATGCACTGGCGATTACTTTTGTCATCAAATTAATTGAGAACTATACGAGATCTGCATTCCTTCAAAATCAAATTGACTTCCCTGACATGTCCCTACTAGCCGTATAAAACACCTATAAAACCTATAAAGTGGCCGCAATGTCCCACAAATTGTGAATCGTGTTAGCTTGTTTTTTCACACTACATGTGCCCATGTGTGTGACAACACAAATGCTCTAATTATTGCATAGAATCCCTAGTGAACAAAAAAAAATATTAATTACAATAGTTTCCACATTAAAGCGAAAGCTGCGTACTTTTCCATTTGTAAGTAACGGTTAAATTTCACGTAAAGAATGTATTTTTCATTAACTTTTGTTTGTGTGAATTATTACGATAGTTGAATAAATAAATTAAAGTCAACGCTTCATAGCATTTTCGTGTTATTATCAGTTTGTGGCGTGTTTTTGCACTAAACTGAGCAAACTGGATGCTTCCGACATTTGATCTCTTCTCGTCAAGCGCTTCATAACGTTGCGTACAAGCAATATCAAGGATCGAATTATCGAAAAATAAAATGCGTATGAACAACAACTGTAACTTTTCGGTTTTTCGCTTTTTCGCTTTTTCCATTTTCCTCGCTTACTTCGATTTGCCCTCGCATACTTGGGCGTCAAAACATTTAAAAAAACTTGATTTTAGAAACTGTCAATAGGTAATAAGTAGACTGAATCTATTTCTGGTCTTTGAAAATATTAAAAAAATATTTTATATTTTGTTTTATTTTCGAGTAGGAATATATATATTTTTTCATTTTTCTTTTTTTATATTAAATAACAAAAATAAAAATTTTATTAAAAAGAGTAAAGTGATAACAAGAACAAAAGGTTACTTTTGCTTAGCAACACTTCCATCACTACATAGTTCAATGGTATCGTACATAACTTCAGCTATGTAAATAGGTTGATTGATGGCGATAAAGTTTACCAACCGTGACCGCTGCTATAACCGTAGCCGCCGCTATAACCGTAGCCGCCACTGTAACCGTGACCTCCACCATAACCACCGATACTATAACTGATAGCGGGGGCAGCAGCAACAGCAACTTTGGCAACAGCAGGTGCAGCGGCTACATAAGACACCGAGGGAGCGTAAGAAACAGCTGGGGCTGCGTATGCGACTTTAGCAACAGCAGGAGCCGCAACATACGAAACTTGGGGAGCATAAGAAATAGCGGGCGCATAAGAAATAGCAGGAGCGGCAGCAACCGCAACTTTTGCAGGAGCTGCGGCTACATAGGATACAGCCGGTGCTGCAGCTACTTTAGCAACCGCTGGTGCAGCAGCCACATAAGATACTGCGGGAGCATAGGAGACGGCAGGTGCAGCATAGGCAACCTTAGCTACAGCTGGAGCCGCTGCTACATAAGAAACAGCGGGAGCAGCAGCAACGTAGCCGCCATGACCGCCGCCACCATAATAGCCCCCATGACCACCGCCGCCATAATAGCCACCTCCACCTCCTCCCAAGAAACCAGGAGCAGCAGAAACACTAGCAATTAAAGCTAAAACGAGAATTAACTAAAAGAAAAAGAAAGACGAAGAAGAGTAACACCAATTAAAAATTAGATTAATTGCGTGAATAAAATTTTTAATCAAAAATCTTAAGTTAACCGGTTCACTCGCGTTGAATGGAAGTTAAGATGACTTCAATGTGAACCATTCCCGCTCGCAGACCTTTCTTATAATCGCCGAATACTCAGGTCTAAATGAAGTTTTTCAAATTTTAAGCAAATACTGTTTTCGCTCTCACCATATCTCTCTCTCTCTCTCTCTCTCTCTCTTTCTCACTCTCGCTCTCTCTCTTTCTCTTACTCACTCACTCACCCTGTCTCTCTCTCTCTCTCGTTTTCTCCCCCTCTCTCTTTCTGTCGCTAAGTCCCTCTCTTTCTTTCTAGCAACCTCCTCATACCACCGAATTGTACAAAATTAAGGATATATTTACAATCCTGGTTTTGGGCTCAGATAGGTTGATAGGCTTTAAGTTTCGTCGAATTTTTATTCAAGTCCACAATCATTTTAGGAGAATACTTCCTTATTTTGTACTCTGTTTTATTTTTTATTTCCATATATTTTTTTTTATATTTATATATTTTTTGATCCTTTTTTGATAGCTTTTTACTCTCAGGCATAAGTGTTATAAGATCCTTTTCTGAGTTACTTTGCTTAAACACTTACAAGTTTGAACATTTTGCCGAAGCTTATTAAAATGTGTTTTGAAGGATGTGCTTAAATGCGTTGCTATACGTTTTCGTTTGTTTTTACTTTTTTTTTTTGTTTTAGTTTTAAATAGTTGCACTGGGGAAATGTCACCGAACTGACTGTGAAGTGAACTAAATTGAGTTGAGAAAAATTAACTGTTTCTTATCTGCTGGTCTCGGTGCGTTTGAATAACTTGTTGCAAACTGCAATTGTATTTATACTGAAGAAACTAATTAAACTAATGATGCAGCATTTGTGCCGACCAGCCACTAAAGTAATGTAGCAACGTTAACAAATTCCAAAAAAAAAAAAAAAATAAAAAAAAAATAAAAAAAAAAGAAGGAAAAAAAAAGCCGCCTGAAATACTACAATTTTAGTTGAAGTGCATACGTAGCATATACGTGTTTTTAATAGATGAATACAATGCACACAACAAACTCATGCTGTGAAAATAATATGATGTTCATAACGATGGTGGTAGTGGTGTGGCAACGCGATCACCTCATCTCTCACACCTCTTCATTTACGTCTCGCCATTTATCTAACATATCAATGCATCGTTGCGTTGTCATAGGGTATATAAGCTGCGCCAGTTTATCTATAACGAACACCACGATCAGTACAAATATAGACGATTTGTTGAAATTTTTATCTAGTTTAACTAAATGAATATTTTTAACATTTTTTTTTTTTTTTTCATTTTTGTTGTCTTCTCATTTAGTTTTTTTCCTATTCAAAATTCAAACTTTTGGCAAAACATTTGAATTATTTTTAATGTGGTAGCTGTGTTGCTAATATTGTTGTTAGCATTCTTCTTCATATGGTAAGCAGTTATATCAGTGATAATGATTTCATCAATTTAATAATTTTCCAATAAACTTATTAACATTCATTAAACTATTAAAATAGAAAACTTAGAAACCCATACATATTTAAATATTTGATATTAGCCCTCGATTACCTACGACGTAGGACGTCAAAGGATGTAATAGAAATCAGTAGCCATGTTTAACAAATATCTCTTCTCTCCATATAGCCTTCGGTTATTTCTAATATTAATTTTTGTCCCTTCTGCCTTGCAAGAAAGCTTACCGTACCGAATGCGTTTACATATCAGATACGGGAACATTTTCAATATGATCGATTTGAGCGATCGATTTTTCAATAGTGACTGCTAGATTACGCCATATTTGATTGCGTCATATTTGATGGATCAACTATGGACTATTCTTTCTGCCAATTTATATATTTGCGAAAATTGATGATGAAACAACATTTTTGTATAGAATATTTTTTTTTTTTTTTTTTTCTTTTTATAAATGAATCCTATATGCGATTTGCGCAAAATTAAAAAAGTCATACATTTTCATTGAAATGAAAACCTTATCACCTACCATCGTAAACTCTAAAGCAATTAAAAAATGTTTTTATATTATATCATAATTAGAGACCTTTAAATTGACCGATCAGGATCTCTTCTCCTCAAGTAAGAAATTCTAAAGTTTTTTTAATTTTACTTATTTCGCTGTTCTGTTTGTTTACGCACTTCACACTTTCCATCGTAACCCGATCATCAACTGAAAATATAAACCTACTTTTAGACATTTTTCTATCTCAACTTATAAATCTTATATGTATTTAAGCAGCTCCGAACAATCCTTTACGCGATATGCCCTACTTGGGTGCGTCTAAAAAGAAATGAAGAAAGTGAAATAGATAGGAAGGTGGTAGGTGAAGGAGCCTAGGGGCGCTATGATTGAGTAGTCAGAATGCATAGCTACGATCAAAGTAAACCCTACCGCACTTGAATACTTGAACCCAAGAACACTGACTAGCAAAGTGATTGTTCTTACCTAAGCCGCTGCTTATACGGATATCCATATTCGGCATATCCTTATAGTTCGGTAGATCCTATAGTGATTTACAGTAGCAGATCTTTCTAAATTTAATTGCACTGAAAATCTCTATAGAAAAATATAGAAAAATAAATGATGGCTCCTTAGAACGACGAATTGGACTAAACTGAATATATGCATTGATCGAATAATATGGAATTAACAGTTGGAGGATAAATTAAATCTCATTTGCTAATACTTGATTGTATATGAAATATTAAAGGGGTTAAAATAATATTGAATTTCGTACACACATAACCATTTCTAGTCGCATAATGCTAACTGACGCGAAACTTATCTCCCTCTCTTTTATATCTAAATAAAAATTCACTTAAAAAGGATTTGCTTTTGTAATTTATTTGTTTATTTATTTTAGTTGAATGGTATTAGCGTTAATTAAATCCAATTAGGAAACGAGAAATGATTTTTTTACAAAGAACATAGGATACGAAAACCCATGGCAATTAAGATGAAGGATAGAAAAACGTATTGGGTCCGTGAATTATTTTAACGACACTACATACACAACCAGTGACTAAGTATATATGCAAAGTAGAAAATGTTAGATGATAGTAGATGATAAAAATACTTTTATATTATAATTTGAAGAATGTAAGTGACGTAATTGAATGATTTCTATAATATAATTATATCATTTTTGTAAACCAGCGTCAGTCTTCAAAATGAAAGCACTCTTGACAACTCAATCGCATACGATAAGCTGGATCTTGCTTATGCTTATGCTTATGCTTATATAACAAATTTAACTTTATCTTCATCTCCTTGCAAATGAGAAGAGAGTTACGTATTTAATTCTAAGAAAAACCATATAGAGAGGTAGAGAAGAGTAGCAGATAAAAGGCCTTCTTTGCCTTCTTGTTTCAAAAGATTATCCTTTGTTCGTTACAATAAAGTAAACATAAAAAAAAAAAAAAAAAAAAAAAACGAAAGAAAATATCAAGTGCATTGAAAGTCTATCATTGTGCAAGTATATGCGACAATTGATTCAACAGTACCTGTACTTATCTTATCATAACTTTATATATATGTATACGCACATATTATGTATATATTGGAAATGCTTTGAAGTTGCATTTTTAACATTTCGATGTTGTTTCTTTGCAGCAATTTTTAAAATTGGAATACATTTTTTCAATAATAATTACAACAAGACGAAGTCTTGAAATTACGAAAAGCATGTCCATCGTTCATTATTATTGTTATTATGTAATGTTATTATTACGGTTATCACATTTTTTCGATCATAAAAATATAATGGAAAACGCGTTTTAACTTTAAACCAAAAATTTTTATTTATAACAAAAAGACAACAAATCAAATAAAATTTTTTTTTTTTTTTTTTTTTTTGTAATTTTTAAATATTATTCATCTTGGACACACACGTTACAAAACTAGCACTCGATGCTCATTTACCAAGGATGACCAAAACCTAAAGCGGGAGCGGCGGCGAATTTGGCAGGAGCATAAGAAACAGCAGGAGCAGCAGCGTAAGAAACAGCGGGAGCAGCATAAGCAACTTTAGCTACAGCTGGAGCAGCGACGTAAGAAACAGCCGGAGCAGCATGATACGAGACAGCTGGGGCTGAATAGGCTACTTTAGCAACAGCTGGTGCAGAGACATAAGACACAGCTGGAGCTGCAGCATATCCATGACCTCCCAAATAGCCTGGTGCAGCGAAAGCGCCAGCAATCAAAGCGAAAATAACTATTACCTGAAGGTAATAAGAAAATAAAAAAAAAAAAATTTTACGCGCATTAGACAAATGCTAAACAAAAAAATCAAAATTATGCAAGAAGCGTTCTGCAAATTCGTAAATTTTAAGACATTCTTCAGCTTCTCACGGATTTCGAATTCTCAAAAAATGCATATTACACGCGTACAGCACTTGTAATCCTTTATGTGGTTAGGTAGGTGTTTGATTTTGCTAAACATAAAAAAAACAAAAAAAAAACAAAAAATCCTTTTCCTTTTGTCGAACTTACAGATTTCATCATATTGATTGGTTTTTTCTAAGGATTCGATTTATATTTATTGCGAAATCAACTGTTTAGCGTTAGCTTTGTTAACCACGTTTGAATAAATTGCCCGAAATTGCCATTGTATTTATACCCCCGAAAAAAAAAAAATGAATCTAATGGGTATACATAAGTATTAGAGAGCAACTAATAAAGTACAAATGCGCTGACACTAAATAAACACATGACAACAGCACTGAATTACAATACGTTACGGCATTATAGTGTAGTTTTAGTACATTACACTATACAAACAACGATATTATATGCAACAACGATATTATATACAAACAACGATATTATATGCAACAATAATAAACAATATCAGCTGCTGTTAAAACAACAGCTGCTCTAGCCTAGAAATTGTCTAGGAGTAAGTAACTACAATAATGTATAGAAAAGTATATATGCATATATATAGATATAAATGAATACATATATGCATACATATATACATTATAGATATAAATGTAAAAAAAAAAAAAAAACGCAACTAATTTGTTGAATGTATGTGATTTTTTATGTAAGCCCACTATCGAAAAAAAAAAAAAATAAAGAAATAAAGAAAAAAAAACTACATACATATATACCACCTTCTCTCTATTGCAACAGAATATATTCATGCATACTAAAGTATATAGATATACACGACATACATATATCTAGTATTGTTTAGCTACACCAATCTGAATTTTAATGCAGCATTCTAAGCGACTGTAATTATTTTTGAGTTATTAAAATTTGCCTTAACTACAAGTCTAACTAAGTTATACGTTTGCATATTCATTACATATCTACGGGGTACGTATGCCTGCCGCTATCCATAAGCAATTATCATAAAGTTTACCATTTGAGGATATCAATCAATTGAAACGAAAGTGACTGCACTAATTAATACACATGCAAAAGCAAATGTTATGATGCACAAGAGTATATATGTAATATATGTTAGCATTGTAGAGAAAGATAATCATGGCTGGGTTATTTTTAAAACTCGACAAACCAACCATTGATTATTTACATCTCAAGAAATTTCAATTTAACATTTACAGCGAAACGCAATCATCCAGTCGTATGAGTTACATATTTTAGCAATAAATAATAAGCTCTTAATATTGTCATTCTATTCTTTTGATTCTGTTGGTGCGAGTGCAGCCACAGAACATTTAGACTCGTAATATCATCCTTGAGAACTAAATTTAATTGGTTCGCTTAATTGCACGAGCACACATAAACATACCATATTTACGATAGACACTCAGCACTGTAGCAGCAGATGTGATAACTGCTCTGCGATAAATATCTATTTCTATGCATATGTAAGGTAAGGTATAGAACTCAATACAAATGCATGCACACTATTGCATATCTATAGGTACATTCATACAGTATGCATACATGTGTTTATATGGACAGATATACGGATATGTATTTAAGTTGTTGTGTAAATGCTTTGTTAATAAGTTTGATATAATTATTTTTAGCAATAGGAGACTTAGCGCCGGATATGGCTGACACTTTCTGCCCGGTTAAAAAATGATCGTCCATGACATTGTACTATCGGAAAACGTGTAAGTGGTAGTACAATCAATCCGTTGCGTGACCGACAATCTTAACAATAACGGAGCGACTATGCACGAATCAGTATTGCCAGTGTTTTTCGTTTAAATTAACGTAAATGCATTTTAATGACTTTCGGTTTGAATGAATGTCGCATTAAGCGTCTATGTACAATGGTATGCATTGCTAGTAAAAGTCACGATGTCGAAAGGGCTAACTAGTCATCATTGATAACACGGCATCCCGTGTTTGACTGTTATTAAGGATTTCGATTATGTCATCGTCTGAGAATTTGCCGTTCAAACCAATCAAACTTACTCCAGATTCCCGCATATGTCAAAGTGATTGTTTCTACGCTGAGCCTCGTAATTTTGATGGTCAGAAATCTGAAGAAAATTGTTTGCTCCGCATTATTATCTATTGGTTCGCACGTGGCATATGTGTTTTTTAGTCGCGTACGCCAAATCGCCAAAAGCAGCATATGGAACTCTGGCATCCATGCCGAGCCCGAGCTAAGAACAAATTCACTTCTTCTTAGTTTCTCTTCAGCCACATTTCAACGTTTGGGAGCGGCGTACACATTTCACCTTTGTGCCATTTTCTCATCGCTGCTATCACTTCGATAATATAACCACTTTGATAGCGATCCATAACATGCAGATTTCGTTGTTATTCCTCTTCAATCATTCCTTTCCTGCCCTATTCCGCAGTAGTTCAATTGGTAGCATATCAGTTAGCCCTGCTGCAGCCGACTTTGATAAATGGGTGACAAACTGGCAGCATTTCTAGGCTTGAGAGACCTTGTCCCATGTAACCTTGTATACATACACTTTCAAAGGGTATTTAAATTGCTCCGGCCGTGAGGTCGAACAATACCAACGAACGAGAACATGGACTATAGAAAACTTGTTGATATGCTGCAATCGTCGTGGAACCATTACACTAAAGGCATACTCAATATGATAATCCTCACGCGTATATAGCGGATTCAAAAAAAAAAAAAAAAAAAAAAAAAAAACTACAAGTTTACCGTAGCCATAAAATGTGCGTCGCAAGCATAAGTGAAAAGTATAATAATCGTAAGTAGTCCCATGAACTTTCTCTTCGCTGAATTTCGGCATAAGCTACATGACTAGCATGAAGTTCTTATAGTGATAATTGATAGCTGAAGATGTTGCCTACGGATTTTGACGTCAGACATCTCATTACTAAGTTAAAGCCTTACACCACACTAACGAGTCTGTCAAGATATCGAAACTTTCTACGCTTTCCCTCCTTCCTTTCACTTCACCTCCTTCACTTTTTGTGTGTAAAAATTCAATAGTAATTTTCTAACTTTCATTTCTGATTTTCTGATTTGTAAAATTCTGATTAAAGTGCTTAGTGAGCAAATGACAGATGCCGCCTGTAGTGAAATGATTTACAATAGTTTTGTTTACGTTTCCTCTGCTCTTCCTCAGCTATTGCAATCAGCACATTTTGGAGTAGAAACTGAAGTCGTACATCAATTTTCTTTATCTCGTTTTAATCACTGCATTAGCCGCATACCAGAGGTATATATAAATATATACATAGAGGTGTAAACAAATTCTCAAAAAAAATCTAATTTTTTTTTTTTTTTTTTGTCTTTAAATCGCTTTAAGGAAATTATTTATGCATACAAGCAGAGAGGGTGGGGGGAGATTCAAATAAAATAACAAAAATTTCAATAAAACACACAAGTTTTATTTACACAAGAAAAAAAGAAAACCCAAAAAAAAAAAAAAAAAGAAAAACATTTTCTGAGATAACAAAATATTCCACAAAAGACGACCAGAAGGCACTTGACAGTGTAATTTTCATGTGTGTGTAGATATGTAGATGACTACTTCACTGCTATTTACAATAATTGCCATTGGAAAATCGTTTACCATGGATGGCCAAGGCTTAAGGCGGGAGCGGCAGCATATTTAGCTACGGCAGGAGCAGCATGAAGAGAATAAGCTGGAGCGGCAGCATAAGATACAGCTGGTGCGGAATAGGCTACTTTGGCCACGGCTGGAGCAGCATAAGAAACAGCTGGAGCAGCATAAGAAACGGCTGGAGCTGAATAAGCTAATTTAGTAACTGCTGGGGCGGCGTAAGAAACCGCGGGTGCAGCGTACGCGACTTTAGCCACTGCCGGAGCGGCATAAGATACAGCTGGAGCATAAGAGACGGCCGGAGCTGAATAAGCTACTTTGGCGACGGCTGGTGCAGCGTAAGAAACTGCCGGAGCAGCATAAGAAACAGCGGGAGCAGCATATGCAACTTTAGCTACGGCCGGAGCTGCATAAGAGAACGATGGCGCAGCAAAACCAGCATGTCCATCTAATCCCAAATAACCGGGAGCAGCTGCAGCATTAGCAATCAAAGCCAAAGTTACAATTACCTGCAATGCAATTTTTATAAAAAAAAAAAATAAATAAATAAAAAAAAAAACATATATCAACAAACATATAATAACAACATATAATAACAAATAACTCGAGTAACTAAAAGTATAGTGAAAGCTGTAATGAAAGAGAAGACAAGGTTGAAATACATACAAATAAACCAATTTACGCGTATAATTTTAAACAAGAAAATCATTATTAACAAATATATATTTTAAAAAATTATGAAAAAATATATGCACATATATGAAAAATTTTTTTTAACATTTATATTTACATGTACATATATGTATATATATATATACACGAAGGATTAAATAGTGCAATGTAAAATAAAAAGGCTCAAGTTTTTCAAAACTATTTTTGCATTTTGCCTAAGAAACTTCTTTTGACTAATGCATCGATTTTCGCACTTCAAGGAAGGATTATATTTATATATATATATATATATATTGTTATTTTTTTTTTTTTTTTTTATTATTAATTTTCTTTTTCTTTATTATCATTTTTCGCACTTACAAATTTAAACATATTTGAATGTGTATTAAGATTTTTCAGAAATAGTTGTTGTTGTTTATTTCTTAATTTTTTTTTTTTTTTTTTATATATGTATATATATATATATATATAATTTTTCGGTTATCGTAGTTTCCTTTAACAAACTGTTTAATAGCAAACGGTGAACTTATTGAGTTTGAATAACTTGTTCCTCGATGTACAATTGTATTTATACCCGAAAAATCTGTACGTAAATCGAAAATTTGCAAAAATCTTTGCAGCCAAACGTTAATACATATAGAGTTCAGGCATTTTAGTACTGACGACGACCAGACCAGCACACGGCCACCAAATGCAACATTAGCTGACATTAGAGCGATCGCATAAACTGCAACTGCAGCAGCGGCAACTAAAGAGTCTAAACAGCTGTTATATGTACGTGCTCCACAATCTCTGTTCAAGTCTAGAAGTTGCACCAAAAAAAAAAAAAAAAATAAAAAAAAAAAAAAAAAATAAAAACAGACTTTTACTTTTTTTTCTGATTTTCGTTCGTCTATATGTATATTTATTGTATGTATGACAAACTTCGAACTCTATTTAACCATGTGAAAATCCAAAAATCTACGAAGATCAATGCAACTCAACGTAGTAAGGCTGCAGTGTAGCAGCAAACAGTATCTAAGCATTAAGCTCAGGTGGAGCGATGACAACAGCATTTAACTTTAATAACATGCGACACATATGTATAATTAAATGTTGGAATGAATGAATGTTCGTTCGTTCATTCGTTTGTTTATTTGTTTGTTTGTTTGTTTGTTTGTTTGATTGTTTGTTTGTTTGTTCGTTGATACCATAGGCAGCTATTTGAAATATGGGTGCGATGAAAAATAGATTTCTAAAATCAAAATCAACCAACCAAACTAAAAAAAAAAAAAAAAAAACTCAAAAACTTCAAATCTCCAACCGTAAGCAAATGTTTCTACTGCAGACTCACATACGTAAGCAGTTCTAATGTTTGTTTTTTTTCGTTTTTTACTTTTTCGCTTTTTTCTTACACAAAAAAAAAAACATAAAACGATATGCGTAATTTTTAATCATTTTTATAATGTCAAATGCATGTCCGTCTCCTTCTCTCACTCTCTCTCTCTCTCTCTCTCTCTCTCTCTCCCTCTCTTTCTGTTCCTCTATATTTCTTTCTATCTTTATATCCTTCTCTCTCTCTCTCTTTCTCGCTCGTTCTGTCTGCCTGTCAGTCGTTCTGACCAATTTATAAGCCTGGCTTGTATGGTTATATCTTAATAGCCTATCATTGTTGAACAATTTTTTATGTGGGGTTAAAGTGGTATTACGTGCGTTTATTTATTTATTTTTCTTCTTTTTTTTTTTTTCTCACTTTTCATTAACCGGATTTCCACTTTATTACCAGTGACTAATGTATATAATTTCGAGCAAAACAGAAAATGTGACAAAAAAAGAAAAAAAGAGTCTTTTTAAATAAAAATAAATAAAGAAACAAAATTCAATCAAAAAATAAAACCGGATCGTCTTTCAACTCATGTAACCAACCAACTACTCTACTATTGACTACTAGTTATGGTTACAATAAATGTTTCGTGGATGTTGGTTAGCAGTGCATTTTTCTGTTTATTTATATGATAATAATTTGGTCCATTGACCGCAAGACCACTGTATGCCACTTAAATCATTCTTCTTGTTGCTTATAATCATTTATTTATTTAATTTTTTTTTTTTTTTTTTTTTTTGCTTCTTCTTTTTCTTCCATGATGTGATCAAATTAAATGAATATTGCATTAAAAGCATATATATGTAGACACATACTACTATATATACCACACCTCACCAATTGGTAATATCTGGATATGCTCACAAAGTTACATGCATCTCAGCAACCGGCCAATAGATCAAACATATTGTCGAATTTTGCGTGTATAAACATTTGTGTAAGTGCATATGTGTGTGTGTGTGTGTGTGTGTGTGTGTGTGTGTATGTATGTATGTATGTATGTATGTATCGAGACATGTTCAGTTTCGTTTCTTTTATTTTAATTTTAATGACAATTGTTGAAAAATGAAAAAAATACCACCAAGACTGTCGTAAACAACTTCTAAAAATCTTATTCAATATACAGTATCTGGCTTAACATTTGAAATAACGACAACGACGACACTAACGACAACAGCATTAAATGCTTTATAAATTTTATAGAAAGTCTTACATATATATTTATGATAGTTTGTTTACTTGTTTTTCAATTAATGGGAACGCATTTCAGGAGCCATTACATTATACGCCTCGATTAGTCAAGATATTAGTTAGTAATATCTAATATGATCATCCCATTAAAATTAAGAAAAATTTGTAAAAATTTTCCAAAAGGACATTCATCACCCATCAATATATGAGAAATTATATTAAGCAATCAGCTAAACAGCGGCTGCGCGATATAAATTTATTTTATAGGATATTTTTCTATGAAATGTATACACTCTCCGGCCATTCTGCTATTTTTTAATATTTTTCGATTTCTTTTCTTTTCTTCTTTTCGTCCGATATTCAGCAAATTGGGAACACAATAATTCACTATTCGCGGACTTGTTTACTCCTTCTCTTTAATACATACATTTGTTTTCTTTATTTGCTTGAGAATTTTAAGAAAGTGCAACTAATTGAGGTAAGTCGTTTGAAGCGGTAATTATTAAACTGTCCACCCATCTAATTGTATTGGAGTTCAGTATTAATCACAGAAAATCCGTGCATTTAGTTGAATAGAGAGAGAAACAAAAAAAAAAAAAAGAACCAAGCTAAGTGAATCCTTAGATGGCGATTACTTCTCTATAAGAAAAAAACCTTAAGCTATTCAACAAGCTTTGCCTTAATCTAAATTTGAATTGATTTGATTATCGAAAGATTTACTTAAGACCAAGAGAATAAAACATCTTATGTTTTTATCTTACATTGTTATCTTAAATTACGTAAACATAAACCTGAGGCAATCAATTCTTAGATGCGATTACTTCTCTATAAAAAGAAAAAAAAAAATCTTAAACTATTCAAGCAAGCTTTGCTTTAATCTAACTTCGATTATCGAAAGATTTACTTAATATGCTTAGTATGTAAAGACATAAACAAAACATCCTATGTCTTTATGTTACATCGTTATCTTAAATTACGTAAAGATAAACCTAAGAAAATCAATCATCATTCTCATGCATAATAGACGATCTTTAGAACTAATAAACACTGTTTTTATTATTATGATCGCTAATTTGTTAGGCTGTTAGAGGGATGAGCGAGATTTGATTTACATAAATTTTATCGAATTTTCTTAGAATATTTGTACCATTTTGTGTCAACGAAATATCATATATGATATAATAAATTTTACTGATTGTCTCTAATTTATTAAATTGCTTTCTAATAGAGTAATCAGCGAGATTATATATACATAAATTTTATCGAATTTTCTTAGAATATTTGTATCGTTCTGCCACGCATTTAAGTTTGCTGCAAAGCATTTTAATTCAAGCAAATATCACATATGATATAATAAATTTTCGATGATTTCCAAAGTTTTAGTAATCGAAAGCATTAAGTTTAGAGAAAAAGATGATTAATAATACATTAAACATATTTTATATATATATATATATATATGCATTTATATATATTTTATATACATTATATATATATGCCTTATGGTATCAATGAGGCGTATTTTTGGACACTATATATTTTTATTTAAAATAATAATATTAATATGTTCGCATGCTCAGGTGGTGGGTATAAAAAGCAGTTGTCTATGCAACTGATTTATGTGAGTTTCTTACAAACTGTGAGCTTTTTATTATTATTAATTACTTCAACGTTTTTCATAGATAAAATGAAATAAATGGGAATTTTCTATATATAGTCAATCAAAACGGACTATCTAATATCACATTTTGCAACTTGCTCCAGTTTCTCATTTATTCAATTCCATTATGCATTTATGTCATAGGTATCTTGAATATAATCCAAATCAAATTCAAAATCCAATATTAGAACAAAAAAAAATAAAAGAAAAAAAATGATCTCATGGCAATTAGAAAAGTTTATGCTTAACGTTAAAAGCGAGAAATAATATACAAGGTAAAAAAAAAAAAAAAGATTTGTGAGTGGCAACAATCATGTTGCGTAATGTGTAATTTACTTAGATGCAGGCATACAGCTTATGCTTATGCAATTTGATAAAAACGGCTTATGTGCACAATGAGTTACAAAAAAAATGCATTCTTTTTTCCCACTAACTTAACACTTTGATACATAGATGGTCTGTGACATGTGCTTTATATCGACAATAATCTTGCGAGAGTCTTTCATTTGCTGAATATCAAGCGAATATTAATTTCCCAAACACTTTTCATTTCAAATTGGACTTTCAATGCACATACTCACAACTTTGAATAATTTCATTAATACTCAATACCTGCTCTAAGGTCCCTTGGTTGCTTCACACCAATAAAGAGTTTCAATGCACGATTAGTTCGATCAAATCATTTTTACATCGATATATAATTGAATTTGAAACAATGTTTTTACATGAACGGAAAAACGAGATCCCCTTCCCAGAGATATAAGTTAAATCTCGTCATTTAAAATTGCATTCGTAATGATCAATACGACATAGAGCAAAAAAAAGTTTATCAGCTACAGATACACATATATGTATATCCAGAAACCGTTTTTCCCGCTCATGTGAAAAAATTCTTTTAAATTTCAATCAATATATATATATATATTTATATACACCTACACATATACATGTATGCATATGTACAGATGTGTATGTATGGTAAAATTCCAAGTGTATATAGCTTTGGCTATTGGCTAGTTGGTCTATCCACCGTGCATCTGTTCCCTGCTGTTGTAATCCTCAGGATCTAAAAAAAAAAAAACTTTCAGTTTCCTTTATCTACATTTAACTGCCAAAGGCAATAAGTTCTAGCCAAACTAGCAGACCTAAGGCCAAAATTTTAAATGAGAAAAAAGGGGAAAATACTTGAATACTAAATAACTGGAAAGCAAA